TGAAAGCAACAATTCAAGATAAGATTTGGGTGGGGACAGAGCCAAATCATATCACTATTTAAAAACTCACTTTGCTAATATTTCATCCTATACATATTTAACATACAGTAGACTCCTTTGACACTCACAAATTTAATCACATTTCCTATTCCTAAGAAAGTGTTAGGTAGAAACAACTTTGTGCTAGTTTGAAAGAAGTTTATACCCTCAGAAAGAACTGGATTACAGAAAGGTCAAATAGGGAAGCCTAAGATTCTAAATTCTTTCTGAATCAGGTCATTACAACACAATGTAAATATTTTTGTTGAAAATAAACTTTCAGAATACCTAACATACACACATATATATGTACAAACAATATAAAACAGATACAGAAATTTATGTATTATCTCCCATTTTGAATTGTCCATATTTTTATGCATCCTTCCTCTATCTATAATGACTCCATGAGCACTGATTAACCTGTTCCCACCACTCCCCGAAAAAACTAACTCAAAGTTACCTGCTTCAAATTAATGTATTTTAACTTTGGTATCAATTTCCTGATATAGTTACAACAAAGAATAACTAAAATTTAAAAGGTTGCTTTCTATCCTACTTCTCCCTATTTGTCAATAATTACAGCTAAAATGTTTGGGCATTTTATTAAAACAAATATAAGAAAACTCTGGAATGAAAAGAGAAGGCCGACCAACTAGGGACCTGGGAATCCAAGGGGTGACAAAGCAGTGAGGTCTGTGAGTTTTCTTTTAGCCTCATACATCCCAAACTGGGGAGTGGAATGGCCAGCCCAGGAAACACCAATAGGCACAAAGGTCCCAATAAAAGCCAATCCTCTGTAGCAAAAGGGCCATAAAAGGCACAATCTAGCAAGACAGAAAGCTTTTAGACAAGTACCCTACACCAGCCAAATATAATGAAAAAAAAAAAAAATACATGGCCCTACCTTTGAAACTTTTAATCAAGAGTAACAATGACTCAAACAAAATACTTTCTTCTAAATAGTCATAGTGTAGGCCTATTAAACAATGTCCCCAATAGGACACTGAAAAGACACACTGCTCACCTTTTTCCTTATTTCCAAGTTTCACCTTTATTTTTAAACCACCTCTGTCACAAAAGGCCAAGCACTGAACCTAGATTTCCACTCTCACCCAGAAACTAATGAAGTGCCCATAGATGATTCTGATGTGGTATCAGAGAAAACCAAGTGGTTGTGAAGGCAGTTTTAGAACTTCTATCCCCATTCAAAAGAAAAACGACTCACTCTCTCCCTCCTTTCCTGTGTCAGAGGAAGCCAAGCAGAAAGCCAGAACTTTTATAACTATCCAGAGGTAACAAGATCTCCCCTACTCTCATGGTAAGGCAGCCGTGAAACAGCAATAAGGTGCCTCTCCCTCTCCCAGCCAGGGACACAACTGCTAAAGCCTGTGGGGATCCTGAAATCCCACCTTAACCCAGGAATAAGGTGGTATTCCTCCTACCCAGAGTGTCAAAGGGGGCCGAGTGAAAAACTTGTCATTTTACTTGCACCTGACATTAACAAAATGGTATCTATCTTTTCCCAACATATAAAGTATCAGATGAGGCCTGCTAAAACACAGGATTTAAACAAGATCCAAGGTGTCATACAAAATACCTAAAATATACAAGATATAATTAAAAATCACTCATCATACTAAGAATCAGGAAAATCTCAACTTGGGTAAGAAAATACTATCAATACTAACACTGAGATGACACTTTTCTAACAAGGATTTTAAGGAATCATAATGAAAATGCTTCAGCAAGGAATTATGAACATGCTTGAAATAGAATAAAAAGTTTCAGCATGAAATGGAAAATATGAAGGAGAACCAAATGAAAATTTTAAAACTGAAAAACAATAACCAAACAAAATACAAATAATTGGCTCATCAAACGAATGGAAGGGGCTAAGGATAGAAATGCTTTCTTCAGAGATGGTATGGTGAAATATAAGTTGAACAGTACGCCTGCTTTAACTTCAATTTGGCTATGAGACCTCCTAGTACATTTTTCTATAATTTATTTAGCCAAGGTGTTTAACACTCCATAAGTTACCCTTTCATTCCCATGCTATAAAAAGAAGAGTGAAACCTATTGGTACTAAAATGAAGTCATCTGAAAAAAAGTTTTCTTTGAAAGTACTGAGTCCTACAAAAGGAAGAACTTTGTGAATTGAGTACTAGCTTTGAAGACTCAAGTCATCACTCCTAGATTATCACTATTAATAGAAAAAGAAGTGAGAATGCCAGATAGCACTAATATTGGTCCTTACTATAAAAAACCCAAAGTGCTATACATTAGGTCTTACATAGTCTCTCTGATATGTTACTGTTCCCATTAATAGATGAAAAAACTGAATTTTCAAAGATGTCTCATTAAAGGGTCCAGAATAAGTTATTCAATGGAGACAAAAAAAAAAGAACACAAAGTTATCTCATTATTCAGTACTATGCCTTTTAATTAGTACCATAATTCCAAGGATGAGGTCAGTAAGTGTGGCTATAGACAAAGTAATTAGTCCTTGGGGAGCAGGGTACATGACATTAGTTCATGCGTTCATTCATCCAACAGTATTCACTGAACATGCACTATATGCCAGGTACTACTTGGAAGGAAAATTCTTGATCTCATGGAACTCACACTTTAGTGGAGAAAAGACAGAAAATAAATCAAAATAAAATCACAGGTAGAAATAAGTGGCATGAGAAAATAAAAAATAAAAAGGGCTAGGGAATGCTGAGCACATGCACAGGGCATTATTTTACATAGCATGATTAAGACACGCCTCCACAGGCCAGGCACGGTGGCTCAAGCCTGTAATCCCAGCACTTTAGGAGGCCGAGGTGGGCAAATCACAAGGTCAGGAGTTTGAGACCAACCTGACCAACATAGTAAAATCCCATCTCTACTAAAAATACAAAAGTTAGCCAGGCATGTTGGCGCATGCCTGTAATCCCAGCTACTCAGGAGGCTGAGGGCAGGAGAACTGCTTGAACCAGGGAGTCAGAAGTTGTAGTGAGCCAAGATCACACCATTAGCAACCGAGATTCCATCTGAAAAAAAAAAAAGAAGAAACACCTCCACAAGAGTAGCATTTGAGCAAGTATCAGAAGGAAGCCCAGAATTCAGCGAGAGCTATTAAAGTATAATTTTCAAAAAGTTAATCTGACTCATGCAAATACAAATTGAAGATATACCAAAGATTTATTCTGTTCATTTACTAATAAATTAATCATTTATCTTAAGACTGAATGAATGAGATATTAAGCCTGGTTCAAGCAGCATTTGAAGAACAGGATTTATACAGGAAATTTAACAGCGTGGAGTGTTAGACTAAAAGCACTAGGTTAGAGACAAAACTTGTTAATATCCTACAGGGTAATTATATTGTTTGAAGTTATCTTTTCTAACAGAATTATTTGCATCTCTTCCGGGGACAAAAAAAATCTATAAATTAATATGTAACTTCACTACATCTGAGACTTTTATTCAAAAGTAAACAGTGAATCAAATAAAGTACATTCTCCTAAGTACTCCTGAGGTAGGCACATTAAACAATGTCATCACAGGTGCTGAAAAGACCCACTGCCTGCATTTTACCTTATTTCTAAGTTTTGTATTTTTTAAAAACTAATCCATAGGAGGAACAGCATTCCAGGCAGAAATCATGGACTATATCCCTCTAATAGGCAAAGAATGTCCTTTCCCACATGTACTCACACGTTCTTCTATACTTTATTGTAAAGCCTGGTGTAAATAAATATCTGAGGGTAAACTGGAGAAGCTTGAAAATTTATTTTGGAAAGAAAATAGGAATTGAGTCTGGGATATGATTTTAGTTATATTTTTAAAACACTACTCCTACCTGTTGAATTAAAAACTCATTAAAGAAAAGAACAAGGGTGGGAGCTAGAAGACCACTTAGGAGACTATTACAGTGATCCAGGCAAATCAACAAGTAAGTATATAATGTAAAAGGTGCTAGGAATAAAAATAAAGCAGACTATGATAAGGTGGATGGAGAGGATGTCAGCATTGTTTGGAAAGGCCTGTCTTATAAGGTAATACTTGAACAGAGACATGAAGGCTATAAAGAAAACCATGCAGTATCTGATGGAATCTGAGTACTCCAGACATTAGAAAAAAGAAAAATGATTGAGGAAAAAGAGGCAAGGAAAGGAGAGGAAGAAGGGACTTAAGAGAACACAGTTTAAGGACCTGGCTTTTAGTGTAGGTCAGATGGGAAGCCACTGAAAGTTTTGGAACAGAAGAATGACAACGACCAGCTTTAAGTTTCAATCAGATCACAGGGGCTGCAATGGGGGAATTGTCTGCACATGGGCAATGACAAAAATATTAGTTAGAAGATACTTTAGTATTCCAAGAGAGAAGTAATGATAATATACAATAGGTTGATAGCAGTGACTGTGATGATAAATGGTTGAAATCTGGATATTCTGAAGGTATAGCCAACAAATCCTGCTAAAGAAACAGATATTGAGTAAGTACAAAAAGGAATGAGTAGGTTTTGGTCTTAGCAATTAGAAACATGGAGTTGCCATTTACTGAGTTAGGGAAGATTGTAGAGGAAATAAGGAAATTTAGGAAGAAGCAAGGAGACAATTTATTTAAAAAGTTAAATATCTCAATTCTGGATTACAGGATTCTAAATGTAATTCAAATGTAATTATTATAACAAAAATTAGAATAATCAGTTCCCAAAATGTATCCATCAGAAACAGTATTTATCACCAAATTTGTTTGAGCCTCAAACTACAAATCCTCAGGGCTGCTCACAGACTCATACTTTTCAAAATGGCCATCTTCATTATTTCAAACCATGTTGGTCAGCTTTACATATTTAAGCAAGTATCTGATTCTTCATAAGATGCTCATTATGTGCTTTTTGAAATTATAGTAACATGCTTCATCAAAAGGGCTTACATTTTAAATTTTAAGTTCAATCAGCTTACCTGAAGTTCTTTGTAACTATCTTGAAAAGAAATGGCTTCTTGCTCTTTTTCTTTTAGAAAGCCTTTTTCTAAAACATTATGCTTTTCCATCAATGATTCCACATCCTAAAAGAAAAATCCAAATACAAGCTTTGTAATATTTAATGACATAAAACTTAATTTTTTCAATGAACATATCAGAAAACATTTATCTGAGAACAAATCCACGGGAGGTATGGTTTAAAATCTAACAATATTGTAACTGTTATACTTCATTCTAATTTCTAGGCCAATATCAAACATGGACATAATAATTACTCATTCCAATAAATGAATATGAGCATCTAAACTAATTTCATCAACATAATTGATCTCTACATATACTTTCTATAAATTCGCTAAGCTCTTTTGATAGATATATTCATAGGGAAGAAAGCGTAAGTAAAGAATTTACTAAAATGGCTGTATACCTAAGTACTCTTGTCAAATATCCCATGATGCCTGACTTCCTATAGGGAGAAGTTAATGTTGCAAAATTTCACCTATTCATAAGAAATACAACATTATCTACTTTCAAAGTAAATAAAAATAAACCAAAAAAGAAGCCATAGAGGAAAAAATCTAGTAAAAGATATTCATATCTTTAAAAGTACATATGTAAAATATATTTCTTATCAAAGGCTTTTCCAAGTGATAAGCTCATGACTGTTTTAAACCTACCGCCAAGGGAGAAAGGTATCTTCTTCCTCTGATGAGTTTTTAGGCAGAGTTTGAGATTATATCAAATTTCTAATATTTGCAATTCAAACAATTCTCAGGCAAACACAAATATACCTTTTTAATTCTCTGTTTTTCTTCTTCAGATACTTTGAGTTTAATCTCCAGACTTGAAATTTTTTGCCGAAGTTGTATGTTAGATACATTGGCTCCCGGATCCTCACAATCATCCACAAGGGCAATTGTTCCATTACTTTTTTCATCGGTTAAACCCAATGGAAAAAGTGAGATATCCAGATGAGTGTGTGGTGATTGTTGAATCTAAACCACATTAAAAAAAAAGAAAGAAAGAAAGAAAGAAATACAAGAGAGGAAAGTTTACACTATACCAATAATGAAAACATCCAAAGGGCACTAGAAACCACATTTGGAAATTAAGTTGTTGAAAAGGTTCTGAAATTATTTCACCCTTTAGGTAAATCAAAAGAAGACCTCAAACTGTTACAATTCGATCTGTAAGAAACAAAATTTCCTCTTAATTTTAAAATCTAAAGTATTCATTATTTTGCTAGCAATGCACTAAAAAGCTTAAAACTTTTTCCTATGTTTAAAAATGTATGAGTAAGGATAGACATATCTGGTTAACGGTTCTTAAATTTATACACCGACATAGAATTTGTTTATATTTTGAACGATAAATCAAAATTTGCAATTTATCAATGACCTCTATTGATAATCACTTTCTCACAAAATTAACAGGTGACTCAAAATTGTGTACAGCACTTTAGAAATTGGCACTACCTCCAGCAGCTAGCACAAATGCTTGGTTTAAAAATTATTTGAATGAATAAACATTGTAACGGCTATCTTTTTGGTTTTTACTCTAAAATTGAAATAGTTGCTTGAATCCCTGAAAATGTGTGATAAGATTCACTGAAAAGACACACACTTATTCTTTTTTGTATTATTTTCCCTTTTGTAGTTCAAGATTTGGAATGCAAAGCCAAATAAATTTTAATAAATGAGATACTCGAATCATAATTTGGTAACTAAGGCTACTTAAATATTGTACAATTGTGTCACAAAACAAACATATCTAGTTTTTTGATTTCTAAGTATTAGCATCAAAATTAGAAAACCTATTGCAGAAATACTTCTTTTAGACAAATAGGCTAAAAAAGAAATTTTAAAAGCAACAATTAAATTAGCAGGCATTTTTTTAAGGATGCAAACTGCCTTTAAAAATATGCTTGTCTGGCTGGGCATGGTGGCTCACACCTGTAATCCCAGAACTTTGGGAGGCCGAGGTGGGCAGATCACCTGAGGTCCAGGAGTTCGAGACCAGCCTGACCACAAGAGACATGAAGAAACCCCTTCTCTACTAAAAATACAAAATTAGCCAGGTAAGGAGGTGTATATGCCTGTAATCCTAGCTATTTGGGAAGCTGAGGCAGGAGAATTGCTTGAACCCAGGAGGTGAAGTTGTGGTGAGCCAAGATCACCCCATTGCACTCCAGCCTGGGCAATAAGAGCGAAGCTCAGTCACAAAAAAAAAAAAAAAAAAAAAAAAAAAAAGCTTGTCTTTACCTGTGCTTTAGAAATAGTTTGACTCACAGTGCTGTTCTCTGCATGTGTATTCTCTGATGATAAAATAATTGCATCAGAAGAGAGGCAGCCAATGGTAGAAGAGTGGTCATGGTCCAGTACAATCTCAGGAGAACATGGTGAAAGATGGACTCCGGATACTAAAGAAAAACAACAAAAAGCATAGGATTATTAAAGAGAAACAGAGGAAACAGGTTGAAGGGAAAAAGAGCTGAAACAGAGAAAAGGAAAAAAGTAAAAGTAAAAGCAATGAGAGTGAAAAATCAGGATTCTATGACTATTCCTCAGGGCCCAATCTCTGAAAGCTAACACTACTGTTTTTAAATTTAACATGACATTTCCATGTGAGACCCAGGCAAACAAAATAGTTTTATAATGTCTTAGTGTTTACTTACTAACACAGTACCATAAGAAGTACATTTCCAACATAGAGAAAATACTCATATATATTATACATTCATTCATTTCATTCAGAAAAATCCATTTAATTTTAAAAAGCACTAGAGTGCCTACCAGTGCCAGTCATAGGCATTAGGGACTGAAGAGACGGCAGTGAGCAAGACAGAGGCACTCATGTATTCAATGGCTTTATGACTCAGTTGCCATATCAATCAATTAATATTTATTACAATAAAATGAGTAAGGGAAAAGAACAATTACTTTGAAACAACTAATCCAACACTATCTGCATTAAAGTCTTCTTTTGTGACAACCGAAAGATTTTTCGTGTTATTGTCGACATAGAAAAATAATAATTTTTCTTTTCTTTTTCAATTAGCTTAAAAAAAATCATTAGATTGTGATTAGAGCTCAAATATAAAGGTCCTGAAAGGAAAGCCAAATATCAAATTAGGACATAGGACAAAAGTACAGATATTAACAAGATAAACAGGTTGTATACATATTACTTGATTTTTAAATGTTCTTTCTAAAAATTCAAGTATATTTGGATTATGTGTTTTAATATTTAAGGAGAGTGAGTCATTTTTTGCTGCAGCCCATTTATACGTTTTGACTTTCTAAACTATAAAGACCTTTATTCCACATTGGCATCAGTAGCAACGTCAGTGAAGTTCTACCATAAATTCTGGAAGGCAGCTCACAATGGAAATTGCATGTTTCCCTGAAGAAAGACATTTATAAGGCCATTAGATATTAAACTAACAAATATATCAACTTGTGATTGATATTCTAAGGGTTCATTTATCTTATACACACTTCAATTATGCAGCAATATTGTATTTTTGAGGTATTACCTGCCACACTATATAATTAATATAGTCTAGCTTCACCCATAGGCATTTCAATTCTTTAGCTCAAATACAGAAAACTGAAATTTTAATTTATGTTTGTACTTGGTATCCTTACTTCAGAAATTATTTTTTTCTAATATTCACTATTCTATAAAAGTAGATTTAATAGTATTTAATAGTATGTCTGATAGGACAAGTAGCATCTTCAATAACAGATCCAATGGAGTGACGAGGATTGGGTCGAGGAAGAAAATGGAGACAGGGAGTATGAACTGTTCAAGAAGTTTTTTCTATTCTATAAAAGTAGAATAGTGAAAAGAGTTCTTCCAAATGTCAAAATATTTCCATTTCTAATTCTGTATTATAATTTACAACAAAAATATTCCTAATAAATTTTTAAAGGAATGAAAGTAACTACTATGGTGGAGTGAGAAGGAATACAGCCTTATGATTAAGAGCATAGACGCTTGAACCACACTGCCAGACCAGGTATAGAACAATGGGCAAGTTACTGAACTTCTCTGTGCCTCAGTTTCCTCATCTAGAAGATGGGCAGAGATTTTGCTAAGGTTCAAACTGTGTAAAACATGTAAAGCATTTAGGACAGTGTTGATATTTTATTAAAAATTAAAATTTATAGGGTAAGTATGTTTATTTAAAGGTATATATGTGGCTATGATCCTGTATTCAAGAAACTATTAACAGTTTCATTCTGATCTAACACCTATTTTAATATTTATGTTATTCATATTTATAGGCATAAGATGTCATGCTATCACAAGTTAAATTCTCATCTGTAACATTAAATGTTCAAGTGTATCATGTTAGGGAAAATGGAAGGAAAGTGGGTAGAATACAGGAAGAGTGGGAACAAGTGAGAAAGAAAAGAGGAAAAGAAAGAAAAGAAAGGGAGAGGTGGAAGAACAGCAGAGAGAAGGAATGAAGGTACCCTGAATCGCATACTAGCTACTATTACTACCACACTATGACCCTTTCTCTTCATAACCAAAGTTCTTAAACAGTTTATAATCCCTCTCTCCATTTTCTTCTTCCTCGACCCAATCCTCATCACTCCACTGGGTCTGTTATTTACGATACCACTTGTCCTATCAGATACTATTAAATCAAATAAACACTTCTGATCTTATCTTTCTTTAGTTCGCCAGAGAACATGATAATGACCCTCCATTTTTTTTTAAACTCTTCCTTTGGTGCCTGTTACACGTGATCTACTCTGTGTGTGTGTGTGTGTGTGTGTGTGTGTGTGTGTATATGTGTGTGTGTGTATATATGTGTGTGTGTGTATATATGTGTGTGTGTGTGTACACACACATATATACACACACACACATATACACACACACACACATATATATACACACATACACATATATATACACACACACACATATATATACACACATACACATATATATACACACACACACATATATACACACATATACACACACACACACACACACACACACACACACATATTTTTTTTTTTTTTTTTTGAGACAGAATCTCACTCTGTCACCCAGGCTAGGGTGCAGATTTCGGCTCACTGCAACCTCCACTTGTGCTGTTCAAGCAGTTCTGCCTCAGCTTCCTAAGTAGCTGGGACTATAGGCATGCGCCACCACACCTGGGTAATTTTTGTATTTTTAGTAGAGACGGAGTTTTCCCCATGTTGGTCAGGCTGATCTTGAACTCCTAAGCTCGTGATCCACCCGCCTCGGCCTCCCAAAGTTCTGGGATTACAGGCATGAGCCACTGCGCCTGGCCGATCTCCTTGATTTCTTCCTAATACCTTGACTACTATTTCCTTGATTCCTTTTCAGCCTTTCCTCCAATAAACTTCAAGTTTCATTATTTCCTGTATCTTCTGATCTTCTCACTGTACACAATATTCTAGATTACCACTTTCAAAAGCCATTATTTAAATTACCACCTCTAAGCTAATGATACCCAAATCTACATCTCCAGTATTAATTACTCTGCAGAACTCTAGATCTATATATTCACCTTACTACCAGATAGTTCCAGTCGGCTGTCCAACAGGTATACCAGACTTACCCATCATCTTAGACAAACCTGCTTTGCTTCATGTTTTTCATCTCAGTTAACAATACCTCAAAAAAACCATTTGTTCAAGCCAGAAATGATACCACTAAGTGCTAACTTCACTCCAGTCACACCATACTACTAACATTCCCTGACTATGTCATGTTGTCCAATATCTCTGTGACCTCACAATATTATTGTCTAGGTAACAGCCACAGGCATTAGAGTCAGAAATTGACTGAAATTTAAACATTAACAATTTATGCATAATGCAACCTTAGGCAAATTACAATAATTCTCTAAGCCAAAGTTTTTTCTTCTGAAAATGGGGAAATAGGTAGCTCAAAATGATGTTATACAGCTTAAATGAGATGATGTATACCAACCACCAGCTCAGTGACAGGTACATGGTAAACATTCAGTAAATGGAAGTTGTCACTGAAGTTATCAGTTGGCAACATTCAAAACAAGCTTTTCCAGCACAATATAATTCTAATTTTCCATTGTCTATTAAGATACTACAATATTTCTAAGAAATAGTGACAAACCATATGGGATACATTTAAAGTAGTAATTAGAAAGAAAACTTTATAGCCCTGAACACTTCAATCAAAAAACAATGAATTAAATTCCCAGCTCAAACTAAAAAAGAAACAAAAAAGGAAATTTAAAAAATAGAACAAGGGAAATAATAAAAATACTGCATTCATTGAAGTATATTAATAAGAAAAAAATAGTACATATAATTAATCAAAATCCTGGATTTCAAATGAAAATTAAACAAAATAGTAGTTAACAATAAAAGGGAAAGAACTTAAGTATACCAAATTAAATAACAAGAAGAAAATAGCTATTAAAACAAAAGAAATTAGAAAGTAATAAGACTTTTCTACAGGCTTCTAAGCAAATCAAACATTTAGAAAAATGAAAAAATTCCTACAGAAATGTAGTTACTAAAAGTTGATGTTATATATTTTCTTGTGAAAAAAATAAAGTTAGGCAACTACTCCACAAAGAAAGCATTAGGCTCAGATTATGTCAAGAGGATTTCTACCAAATATTCAAACACTAGTTAAACCCAATATTCTAAAATTGAAAAGGAAGAACACTAAAAATGAAGGAAAACTTCATTAACATCAATAAAATGTAACATAATATTAAGATAGTAACACCTTACAGAGACATTAAAAATCAGAAAAATTCAAGATTTTCAGATTAGAGTATCACTTATAAATAATGAAGTATATGTTCTAAATAAAATATTAACAATATGAATCCAATACCATATTAAAATGATATGCAATGAACCAATAGAACTTACTCCAGGAATCCAAGACTGGTTATCTATCACAGAATTCATTAATACTCCAAATTAAAAGACTTAAAGAGAAACATCATTATCTCCAAGACTCTGGAAACGCTTGTGATAAAACTGAACACCCATTTCAGTTAAAAACAATCAGGAAAACAGAAACTGATGAATACTTTCTTAACATAATAAAATATATAAACCTCAGCCCTAAGGGCAGCATCTTAAGGGGAAAAGATTAAAGGTGTTTCTGTAAAGATAAGGATGCCTACTATCTCTATAACTTTAAACATTGTACTAAAGGCACAAATCAATGCAATTAAACAAAAGAAATAAAATAGCATAAAACAACAATTTCATATTTCTATCATGAGAATACATTTTAAATTAACTCAAATAATAAAAGCATTCAGTAAAAAAGCAGGATATAAACTTAACAAGCAGAAATCAATATAATTCATATGTAAAAACAATAACCATTTAGAGAATGTAATGGTAGAGACAAAACTTT